CTGTCACATTATAATGCCCCCACGGCTGAAAGGGCGAGCATGTTTGGTGTGACGAGGATTCGAACCCGCGACCCTCAGATTGCGAGTCGAGTGCCTTAACCACCTGGTCATGCCGGGCCTTTTTCTTTTAATAGACTTTTTTATATTTAGCAAAAAAATTTACACAGTTGGCTATCTGTGCTGTGCCTAGTGTGGGTATTAAAACCTAGTTTTCAGGGTTATATGCCTTCTGACTTATCTGAGCCACTGAAGAGGCTTTAGTAGACTTAGTGTTCCTATGTTTCTTGATAGCTTGTTTGCATATGATTTGATCACCAATAGCCAGTGCTAGACAGGGAAGGATACTATAAAGAATTTATGGGCTTGTGTTTTGTGCATTAATTTAAAAATGGCTGAAAGTTTTTGTTGATTTTTCTGTGTTCTAGAGCCAGCAACATTTGCAGAAGGATGTATTTGAAGAGTGGCTTCTGGTTGAGAGTGAGCTAACTCGAGAACGTGGCTTATGGGGTGCACCAGTCCCTTCTCGTCTTGATAAATGGAAACTGGATATGACAGAAGGTACTTAGTATACATTATTGTGTTACGTATCTATATATATATATATGGTTGAAAGTTCAATGTAATACACATTTTTTCATGCAGTCAAAAATAAACTGTCATGTGAATCATGTAAAACATTTTGTATGCTTGTCAACTCTAGATGTTTAAATAGTAACATATAATCTGGATCTTGATGCTTTTGTCTATTTTAACATGATATTCTTCTTTATACTCTATTTCTTTTCAGTGAGTGTTTTCCTGTTTTTCCACTTTTGAAGTAATTTGGTTGACTCATTATGAATCCTTCTTAATGGAAAAAAAAAGGTTTATTTTTGTGAATTATTTTAGGCTTTTCTCCCTTACTTCAGTTAATATTTCAAATTTTTTTCAGTGAAAACCATAATTACACCTTCATCTTTTTATCATGATTTTTTATTCCAAGGGAAAGACTCCTTTGCTTTTTTTTTTAAATAGAGATACTTCTCAGGAAAATTAATAGACACATACTTAAAATCAGAGTTTTCCAGACTTGTGTTCACTTTTGATTTGTTGATTTTACAGTGTTGTTAGGTGATGTCTTATGGCAGAAATACTCTTATAAACATATGTAACCTTTCCACTAATGAAGGGGGCAGGACATTATTTCCTTAATTCTTGATATCTGAATTGAATAAGTAATAATCATCATGTTATTGACAGATTAAATTTCCAGGTAGATGAAAGAATATAAGTATTAATATTATAGAATGAAATAACTAAAATTTGTAAAATATTAATGTTTTTCCTAAAATGGTGCTTTTATTCTTTTTCAAAACATCCTACTGATTATAAAACAGATATTATGAGCAAATCCTAATACATACCTAGCATTTATTTTCTGTTATGTTTTGGTGATTGAGTTTCCAGGATATGCAGGGCCTAGTGGCTTTTAGTATTTAGTTTGTAGTTGTTTTTTTTAAAAGATATTTGTATGAAATTTATATACATGATATTTTTTTATAGTGATTACTTTGTGTGTACTTCTTCTTCAATACATTGATATATGTTGGGTACTTTCAATCACAGCAGTGTATTGCAGCAGTCTTAATTTTTTTATTTTGTTTCAGGCCCATTTAGAATGAGAAAAAAAATGGTTCCCAATGAGCAGTTTTATGCAAATTATCTGTATCGACCAGAACTGGAAAATGGTGAAAATGTATGTATTCTCACTAGTGTTTTATTAATAAATGAATGGCAACCCTTACTGTTCCATTTTGCTTTACTTGTATTCCTAGTCTGAACTTTAAGTTCACGTTAAGAAATTTGAAAAGTAATTCATGTCTTATATAGTTTGTTATTTATTTTTTTTACCTCTGAGAAAGATTGTTCACTGATATTTAGGTTTTTATCTTTAAAAAAAACTATGCTGTGTGAGAAATGCTAAATTTAATGTGTTGAAAGTGTAGTGGAAAAAAGCACTTGTATGTCAATGAAGTATTTAGCGAAGAAAGAAATTAAACTTTGAAGGCTACTGAAACATATTTGTTGAAGTGCAAGATAAAATGTCACTTTTAGGGCACATTTCTTATCTTATGCTGCATTGTTCGTGGAACATTGTTTATATCTCATAACGATGATAAGTCTTACTGTGTTACTTTATATACTTTTCAAGTCCAATGTTTAAAATGTTTCTATACGTGCAAAACCAAAATACATTTACTTGCTTGTCTGTCTGTCAGATTTCTTGCAAAGCTACACGAAAGTTTACTGCACTAGTGGTCCCTAATTTTGAAGAGATAGATTGTAGTGAAGATAGTTTGAGCACGATCCACCACCAACCGTTTTTTTACATGATAACAGGATGTGAAATCATGGACTCTTGTATTCTCAATCTGGCATGCTAACAAACTCTCTACCTGTAGAAGTTAAAACGAATCTCGGTTGAAAGCACCAAAAGTTTATTCACGATACACATTCTCTCTGTAGCTGACCAGTTGGAAAACGGGTCCCTGAATGTTCACGATACACTTTCTCTCTGTAGCTGACCAGTTGGAAAACGGGTCCCTGAATGCCAGAAATACCTCTGCTTCTTGTGACAGTCACAAGATACCCTCTATATGCAATGCAATCGTCCCATTAAAAAAATATACAAGTTTCTTGACCCAGTCCAACTGCAAAAAGT